CGATCGAGCTCCGTAGATCGCGCCTTGCAGGCGACCTTGCTCCTGTAGCAAACCTAGATAGTTAGATAATGAATGACTTCACAAGGAGAAGTGCAGCGTACCTCTTCCGAACAGTTAATTGATTCCAGCGCAGAAATGGCTAGGAAGGCCAACTCGCCGAAACAAGAAGGTATACACAGAAAGAACACCACCCACTTGTACGGGTACACTGCCGTCCCCGCAATCCCGCACGTCCTCACTAAGCAGCTCACTAAACCTGTGATGATCATGCCTCTTTCTCCCATGAAACTCACTAGAGTGAACCTGTTCAAGCTTGTCCGAGCATGACTAGAACGCCTCCAACCAGCATCAGATTGCCAAAATCATTCACGTCGTACCCCACAACAGTCTGCAGAGCAGTACAGAATCACTCAGTTGGATGACACAGAAAGTCGGACTATGCATACTGTTGAAAGGACTTACATTGAGGTAAAATGGCTGCATCTGGAAAATTCCTTCGGAAACGAAGCTCGTTAACGCGATCAGAGTATGAACAACTTGTTCCGGAAAAGGATCGAGAATGAGCGGATCGGACTCGCCGCAACCCATAAGGTTTCGGGCAGGATCAGCAGCGCCCAGAAAACGCGCATCGCGAACAGAGCAACAGCAATCTGCAAAATATGTTCCTGGTTCGTAAGATATAGCACGAATATCAGTTTATCAGGTATCGGAATGTTATGAAGCGAGTGGGAAGCACTCACTCGAGAGAAGAACGGGGCGATAAATGCGCTTGCGCAATACCCAATCGCTACGCTAGCGGCCAGAACTCCAAACGCTGCTGCACGATGAGTTGGAGAGATGACATCGGTGACCGCGGCGCGGCACTCATGACACCAGAAGTCCTAACACAGAGCATCATCATGTAACATAGAGCGACGACAAGCAGGTGCCGATTGGACCAGAGTAGAGGCCGCGGCGGAAGCGCAAGTGGCTCGACAGTCCCCCGAACTGCGAGTCGCCCGCAGCCAACGAGACGGACAGGATGCTCAAGCGCCACTAAGCACAAGTAGCATTCAGTATCTGACGAAGCGATTCAAGTCAGTGCACGCGAGGAAGACAGCCAGAAGACAAGATGTCGGAAAAAGTGTATATCCGCCGCTGAAGTGATGGTAGCAGTAGCTGTCGGTAGTGGTCGCCGATATGGCAGTATTGAAGACGTAATATGTTGATTTCTCGAATTACTCACGAGTTTCAAGCTTGTCTTAGCACCACAGTTTTCTCTCCTCCCATTTCGCACTCACCGCGTTTGTACGGCGCCATTAAATCTCTTCGGGATACGGAACAAGAATTGCAAACTGCCGAATCTCCTTGCCTTTCTTGGTGAAAGACTTGTAGTACAGCGGTGGAAGCAAAAAGAAGAGTTGGTTGCCATCCGGACCCAACTTCGCCAAATCATCTGCCGCGCCGGCCTTGATATCATGAGTCTTTCCCACAGTGACTTGGAATCCACCGAACTGCGGCATCCATGCATCAATAGCGACATAATTCGATGTCCGAGGCACGTAAAGCTGATTCGCAACTTGACCAGCTTCCACCCGCTCCACAATTTGAGAAGGTTTCGATGACGATGGGATTGTAATTTCTGTTTCAACAATATCTCGGCGGCCTCTTTTGCGTTGGCGCTGCATGGCGCCTGACAACAGTTCTCGATACTCAAAACCCCCACCCTCATGCAATAGTCGCAGACAGTGAGGCTCGAAGATGTATCCGCACAGCGATTGAGCCAGCGGGTTCCCGTTGCATGCGCTGAGAAAACTTTCCATGTTCGCGCGATTCGATATCAGCTTCGTCCGAGCAATCACTTTCATCGCCAATTCGGACGCATACACAACTTGGCACTCTGTATATGGCTCTTGGCTGCAGATGTGAATCAAAGTCTGAGCCATCTGGGTCCTCGAATTAATCTCCGAGTTGATGGACACCAACGTCTTGCACTCATCGAGAGAGCAACTATTGCAAGCGGTCTCCAGCAACACTTGCGGGTCAGTTCCAATGTCTTCCAGCACAAGACGAGGCACACCACCTAAGCACTTAAATCGATGCTTCCACTCGTCTCGTGCATTTGGATACATGGAGGCGATAGCGCTGAGTTCTTCTTCCTTCCATAGCGGCATGTACAGTACATCTGGAGTGGGGGCCAGTTTCTTAAATTCTCCAATGCAATCCCGCCGCGGTGTGCTTGCGAGAAGTACTGAGCAGTCCTCTATCGGTAATTCCGTCATAGCGGTTGGATCGACCGAGTCCACGAGGCACCACAGGTCAGGCGACCAAAATCGTTGGTCAAACTTATTTGGCAGTACCTTGCACGTGAGCATATTCGTTCCATCAAAGTAGAAATTCCCCTCGCTGTCGAAAAACAGCACGCGTTTCTTCTCCTTGATCAACCTCCACATCATGTAGTAGACGAACACCGACTTGCCTATCCCAGGCGTGCCCGTGACGACAGCATACTTGACCATGGTCCGATCTGGATTCAGCAGTGCTTGGTCGGCGATCACTCTGTACGACGAGCGAATGTAGAGCTTCTGACGTTTTGTTAACGGCAGCAACGACGAAAATTCGAGCCAATCGCCTACTTGCTCAACCGTGGGGAATTGTGCAAAGAACGGGTCGCTGCAGGGATCAAAGACACCATCTTGGGAGACAATTGAAGCCGAGATCGCTTGCTTCGGGACCACCACCAGCACGTGAATCGTTCCGTCGGAGATTGTGGGAAACGTCTCGCAGATCTTGTCCGTCGGATCGTCCAATTCCTCGTTCATGTAGCGACTCTCAACTTCATCGGGGATCTCCCCCTTCCGCATCCGGAGCAGATCCTTCGACTTCAACCACGCGCCGTCCTCCCTCTTCGCCAAGAAGAGCTGCAGATTCATCCAAGGATCTTCAGCTCTGATCAACCCGTCGCTTTGTTCCTTGATCGCCTTCTTCAAGTGGCCCACCGACTTTTTCTCGTCAATGTCCACAGGGAACGCGCTTCCCGCCGCACCAACGATCGCACAGAAGAGCTTTACCATCTTCCCTCGAGGCGGCGGATTCTGAAGAAAGGGAGAGAACTCACAATCGTACCTAAGCGGAAATGACAATGTGATGACGGCGTGTCACTATGGCGAGGGTATCCATTGTAAGAAAGCCTGGGCATGATTCTTTCGAATGAAAACCCTTGTTGTTGTTGCTGCGTGCGGTGACTCCTCCTTCGCACCTGGTGCTACTTAGCGGTGGTGTAGCTGGTGGTCAGGAAGGTGCGGAGCAGTGCTCGTTGGTAAATACATAACGATCAGAAAAAAAGCTGAACGATTGATGTGCCCGACTCGACTACTTACGTTGACCTTGGGCCTTTTTGTTCGGCCGAACCACGCGTCCGACAGTTAACTGCCGCCGGTCTCCAGAGCATTAGACGCGCAATGCTCATCTCAGGAAGTATACGTCAAACTTGTCCTTAACCACTCAAAGTCTTGATTCATGCGATACACTCCACTGTAGCGGTCCTGCAGACACGAGCTCACACACTCCAGCTTCTTCTCCAACGCAGTGATCATATCTTGGGACACTTTTGCAGTGATTTCATCCTTTCTAGCGCTGTTCTCGACCAAAAACCTCTCAATTTCCTTCTTATGTCGCACCAGAGCCGACACGCTCGTTTCCATGTGATGCTCAGCCTGGTTGCGGATCGTCTCGGCATGGCGAATCCTTCCGTGCACATCGCGCTTTATCGCCTTAATCCGCATGTTATATGTAGTACATTTTCTTCTTGATCATAGTGGCCTCCGCTATGTGTTTGTTGCGCGCAGACAGCTCCACGGTATCCAGGAAACTCAAACGGGGAAGTTGACACATCAAATATGTCTGGTAATTACACAGTCTACACACGGGATTGTCGCCGAAATGAGGGTCACTCAATACAAGAACAGCAAGTTGGTCCAAGTTCATGAGGGACAACAGTCCTTTAAAGCTCGACAGCCGGTTGTCCGCCAAGTTCAGTTCCGTGAGATTCACGCAGCCATTGAGCGCCGTGTCAATGCGGTCAATACGGTTACGACACGCCCAGAGCTGCGTCAACTTCGTGAGTCTCCAGAGTCCGTCAAGCCTTTCCAATTGGTTCAGGTTCACCCACAACTTCTCCAACTTCACCAGCGCGTCCAAGTTTTCAAGTCGTCGGATCTTGTTCGAGCTCAGATTTAGCTGTTTCAGCTTGGTACAGTTCCCCAGGTTAGCGATCTTTGTGAGCCCACACTCGGTAATGCACAATTTCTCCAGGTTGATGCAGTTGCTGACGCCATCGAGTTCGCAGATCGTCGGCTGGTTGATGACCGAGAGCTCCCTCAGCGCTGGGAAGTACGCGACGCTCCTCATGGACGTCCAAAAGCCCAGAAACAAGTCCAAACTCGTCACTGCCTCGCTATTCCGCGCAAATTGAGCGGCTGTGATACCGTTCTCCCTGCAGAGCAATTCGAGGTCGGGAGACGTCGCGAAGACCTGCATCTTCTCCTGCTGGGAGACGGACAGCGCGTCTCCATTGCCAGTTGGCTCTATCACAGTCTCCGTCTGCACTGCGTCGCTTCGGGCAATAATTCGTCTTCAACACTCGCAGGCGGACTGCTTGGCCTTGAAGAGTTCATGCTGCCACCTCGAAGGCACTGCTTGCTGGGAGGTCGGTGGGATTTGGCTGAAGGGAGACGCGCTGGAGGAGCAGCAGAGATAGGCGGCAGAGCACTCGAGTCAGCAGAGGAGGGGCTCGAAGTGCCTCGTCCTGTCTCCATCCTTTTATTCCTACCAGAGCTATCCTATTCCTCCAAGAGTCTGGACCTTGACCTTGAGGCGATT